ATACCATAGAATGATCACGAGAAATAACAAGGCATGCAAATTTCACCACTTGCCATTCGTTACAGGCGCCGAACTCCAACCACCAAATAACGTCTACAAAAAGTTGAAATCATAACAATATGTTATCATTCGGATGGCGGCAAATTTCAGGTCTGAGAAAAAACCTCTGCGCTTGCACGGAAAAAAATTCGGGCCCCTAAAAACCAAAAGTGGGCCCAAATTTTGAAAGGCCCATGCACAGTATGGCAAGTGATTTTAGGCAGTCATATCTTCCACCATGAGTACTTTCTGGCCATAAATACAATCGTTTTTATTAAAACAATATGTTTTCTTTCAAGTGAAGCCCCCATGATAGTAAAATATAAATCCAACTCTCTGAAAAATTATGGATAAGGGCCCCACCGTGGCACTTTTTAAAAAATGTTAGGCTTATTTTCTAAAAGGAGGATCTTGTTTTTCTCAATTTAATCATATGGAAAATTTCTTCTACACTATTTTACGCTGTATTAACAATTTCTGAAAAGGAAATAGGTTCAAGTTAAAATCTGAAGTCGAAAATTGATATCTTCAACAAAGCCTAGCCCCCCTCCCAAGATCCGCCAGTGGGTTAACGGAATTTTGCTACTTGACTCAAAAAAGGCTGGGAATATCGACAATAGACGATTAGTGATTTTACTTAGGGGTTAAGTACAATAAAGTATTTGAACATGAGCTCAGTCATTGATAATAACAATGAATGCAGTAAAATATCACCAACAAACCATAGATGTTCTACTGTCAAATATTGTCCCAAAATGATGCATAATTGTATTTAAAAGAACATAAATATTATTATTTAATTTTATTATAAGTGTTTATTCAATAGAACCAATCACAAAGCATTAAATGTGCACATGTACGGATGACTTTTGTAACAAAAAAATTCTCGATTTCTTACTAACCCAGTGAAATACTCAATCTGCAAGAGAAAAAGCAAGTGTTACAAATATAATGGATATATTAGAATGGAAAACGGATTTATAAATAGATGGTGCTTTTGTATAGAGCTGGACTGCTCCATTCTGCCATTTGCTTGCACAACCAGTTTTGTTTTTGTAATTAATCTTTTCTTTGTAACAAATCTATCTTTGGTATACAAGTTAATACAGATTGGCATATAAACTTTGTTGTCCTTGTGCCAATCAGCGATCAGGCAAATTCGTCAAAGTCTGACTATGAATTAGTTGCAGTAGAAGAATGGCCAATAATTCAAGTTTTATAGAATCTGAATAACCTTTAATGATATTCAATATAAGATTTTGCATCATAAAAAAGTCAACATCAGTGAATTATACATGTTTTCCAGTCAATTGATCAGACTATATCAAATCATTAACAACATGTATAATTTGGATTTCAAAAATGTGAAAATCAACAACAGCGTTAGACCTCATCAAATTTTTCTTGTATTTTCATAAATAGGATTTACTTGAAATCGTTTTGAAAGACAACTGCTGATCAGGTTTTTCCTTTTCTAAAATGTGTGTAATATTCTCATTTGTTTGTTTAAAATTACCAAAAATAGTCAAAGTTTGTGGCCTATTTTCAAAATCTCAATTTAGATGCAAACCCCACTTGCTTCATTGCTTGAGATTTCACTGTACTTGTACCAAAATATACAAATAGTTATATATAAAGTACAAAAAGTCATAAAGAGGTAAGTGATTATAACAACCATGGTATCACTGGCAATATTGTAAAATAAATCAATATTGTATAAGAACTCCTCAATATTGTAAAAGAACAATTCAATATTGTAGAAGAAAAACTCAATGTTAAATAGATGTTAAATAGTAATATGCCTTAGAGACCAAAAATATTCATTAATAGTAATGTTGACATTCAATTACAAATATATCATTAAATTAATTTTTAACTTACTAAGCAGTATTAATGATATTTACATGCATCGCATAAATAACATACAAAACCTTTATCAATATGTTTACATATACAGGCCAGTGTGGGCCAAAAAACACTACTACCAAAGCAAACAGTTTCAGAAGCTTATATCTTGGATTATGACTATTTTCTGACAATGAAGACAGGATTATCTTTTAGATCAATTCATTATCTCAAAGAAAATTATATACAGTAATAATAAAATCAAACCAACTCGGAGATATTTAACCAGCAATCAACCCATCAACACACTTTTTCAAAGATGTTGACAGGAGATGGTATGAAGGCACCCAATCTCAAAAATTGCTCAATTAAAGCTGGCATTTAAGACAGGTTGAAAGAAACTTAGTCAACATTTTATTAGTTGCAATATCAGCAAGGCAACTAAGACTTAAGGCTATCATCAAAGAGGGTGGTGGACCAATTGAACTCCTCTTTTATACCAAATACAATCCAAGTTGAAGTTGAATTTTATTACTTAGGACCCCTGGCACTATATAACTGCAAAAGTATGTAGGTTGGAAAATGAAAAAAATTACAGTGTCTTGACAAAAGTGGTGTTTTTGGCCCACCCTGTACATTCTTTTCAAAATAAAATAATACAGTAATATGTCCAACTGTGATTTCTGATTTGAGAAAGAATAAAAATAACTGAAGGGGAGCAAGGTATTAAATAAATAAATATTTATATTTTAATATAGTTTTAAAATATAAAGGTAATCATTATTTTGTTCAAACTGTCAAGGATTCAGACAATGGCAATGGAATAGAAATATGCCAGGAAATGGGGTGCTTGGGAGAAGATATTGTTGTCTGAACTGTGCAGAAGGAGAAGGGTAGTGATTTCATAGTAGCTATTCTACAAGAGCCTATGGAACCAAGTAACCCCAAAAATGTACAATTACAAAATATTAATTCATCAGCATTACGATTTTATACTGTTATTTCTGATATATCAGATCTTTACCTATTCACATAGCCTTGCCCAAGTCAGTATCTTTTTACTTATCCTGATCTTGAACTATTACCAAGAGAAATCAAGATAAGTAAAAGAGACCGACTTGGGCAAGGTTACTATTCACACTGCATTTGAAATTACAAAATTGTTATTAACAGTAGATTTATATACATTTATAATATATGTTATATGCTAAAAACACTGCAGTTTTCAATTCAGCTATAAAATGTCACTGTTCTGAAATATATTTCACAATCAGTTAGCACCAGTGTAGATAAACATTTCTTCTCAAAAACAGCCTTGCCAAAGTCGGTCTCTTTTACTTATTTTGATTTCTATTATGGTAATAATTCAAGATCAGATAAGTAAAAAATACCGACTTAGGCAAGGCTCCTCAAAAACGTAAAGTATACATTACTGTATTGGAAGTTGATATGGGAAGTCTTTCCTTAAGCCCCTCATTCTCTCTTAAACACACAGGGAAAAGGAGGCTTAATGCAAGACTAAATACAGTGATCTCCCCATTAGGCTATCTAAGAGTAACTGTACACTACACCCTGTTACAATTTAACATTACCTTCCACCCCATACTCTGTCAAAGGGACAGGCTAGTGAGAATTTAGCACCATGTTGAAAATCACGGGGAGATCACTGAGATAATGATTACTTAAAGTAATTTTGGAAGTTTCGGGAAAACAATCTCCAGCTTAGATCTAGAAATTCTCCTATTTTTCTACATTTAATAACATTTTCAAATTGAAATGGCTAATCAAGGAATGTCTGGCCAATAATATTAAGAGCACATTAAATATGACAATTATTTCAATCTAATCGAAGCATGCTGAACATGGCTATACTTGCTTCTAGGTTATTGAACATACTTGTTATACTTGTTTTTATCTCATTGAAGCATGCTGAACATGGCAGTTTTTTGTTTCTATATCATTGAAGCATGCTGAACATGACAATTTACTTGTTTTTATCTCATTGAAGCATGCTGAACATGGCAATTTACTTGTTTCTATAACATTTAGGCATGCTGAACATGGCAGTAAACTTATTTTTTTATCATTGAAGCATGCTGAACATGACAATTTACTTGTTTCTATCTCATTGAAGCATGCTGAACATGACAATTTACTTGTTTCTTTCTCATTGAAGCATGCTGAACATGACAATTTACTTGTTTCTTTCTCATTGAAGCATGCTGAACAACGCAGTTAACTTATTTCTATATCATTGAACATGCTGAACATGACAATTTACTTGTTTTTATCTCATTGAAGCATGCTGAACATGACAATTTACTTGTTTTTATCTTATTGAAGCATGCTGAACATGGCAATTTACTTGTTTCTATAACATTGAGGCATGCTGAACATGGCAGTAAACTTTTTTCTTTATCATTGAAGCATGCTGAACATGGCAATTTTTTGTTTCTACATCATTGAAGCATGCTGAACATGACAATTTACTTGTTTTTATCTCATTGAAGCATGCTGAACATGACAATTTACTTGTTTTTATCTTATTGAAGCATGCTGAACATGACAATTTTCTTGTTTTTATCTTATTGAAGCATGCTGAACATGGGAATTAACTTGTTTCTATAACATTGAGGCATGCTGAACATGGCAGTAAACTTTTTTCTTTATCATTGAAGCATGCTGAACATGGCAATTTTTTGTTTCTATATCATTGAAGCATGCTGAACATGGCAGTTTTTTGTTTCTATATCATTGAAGCATGCTGAAAATGGCAATATTTTTGTTTCTATATCATTGAAGCATGCTGAACATGGCAATCTACTTGTTTCTATAACATTGAGGCATGCTGAACATGGCAGTTAACTTATTTCTATATCATTGAAGCATGCTGAACATGGCAATTTACTCATTTCTTTATCATTTAAGCATGGCAATTTTTTGTTTCTATATCATTGAAGCATGCTGAACATAGCAATATTTTTGTTTCTATATCATTGAAGCATGCTGAACATGGCAATTTACTTGTTTCTATATCACTGAAGCATGCTGAACATGGCAACTAACTTGTTTCTATATCATTGAAGCATGCTGAACATGGCAATTTACTGAAATATGTTAAATTAATAATGGCAATTTACTGAAATATGTTAAATATGGCAATTTACTTGTTTCTATTTCACTGAAGCATGCTGAACATGGAAAATTTACACACTTCTGTCTCATTCTTGAGCTTGTTAAACATGGACAGATTGATCAATCACTTTTAACAGTCTGCGGTATTAGCAATGGGTAATGGTTCATGTTTACAGAGGACAACAGTTGAGCTTATTGGACTACCAATAGGTGGAGTATGAGTAGCCATACATGACGTCTGCTCCGCATGGACAAGGGCATGGGCACGGGTTTGTATACCAGTATTTGTACCAGATCGTATTCTGTGTGTCTGGCTTGGGCCTGCAGATCTATCAACTTTTCTCTTAGCATGTGGGGACCCAATATGCAATGTATGCTGCGTCTCCGCATGTGAAGACTTTATTCGATTAATAACATCATGTTCACCATCTAACACAGACGGATTCATGGGCTTAAGTTTAGTTTTCTTACATCGTGAGCATCTCCTGCATTCTACAACCAAGGTACGGTGCAGGCTCACGATCTTTTGTTTTAATGTTGTGCTATTTTGAGCATATATATATGGATTCAGCGCACTTGAGAGAAAAATCAGCCCGATTCCTGAGATCTTTACTTGGAATAATACGAGGGATTCCCCTGTGAAGTATTCAATAAATTGTGTGACTATAAGGGGTCCCCAGCAGATCAATACACTCAATGTTACAACAAGGCACGTTGATAAAGCCTTAAAGACCTTCTGGAATGACAGTTGTTGTAAAAAAGCACTTGACGGACGTGCATTGTCCTCTGGGACACCAGCAGGGACCTTATATGGACTTTGTCTAGGTGTTGCGGTTCGGGAAATTGTCGGGGAGTGTTTGAGATTGCTTTGCTTTCGAACAGCATGGGCAATAACACTATAGGCAATAATAATCAATGTGAAGCTGACAAGGCAGACAGGTCCTAGGTAAAATAACACAAAGTTATTCTTTTTACGATTGCAGCTGTTTATCATAGCGAGGCAATCTTCCCAATGTGAGTCCCAGCTTCCTGAGACGTGTAAAACTCCCCCGATTGAGACTCCTAAGCTGAATAACCAGAGGCCTGCTAAAATGAGGCCAGCTTTTAAAAGTGACAGTGTGCCTTTCGTGTGCCACACAACTCGTGTAAACCGATGCATGGCGATAATCACTTGCGTCGTCAAGGACAGCAGAGCGCAGGTACACACTAAAAACTGTATTGCATGGCAAAAAACAGCCGGGTTATCTGGTGCAGCAAACAGCAAATATAAATATATAGATACGAAAAATGTACACATCAAGAAATCTGTACCCGCCAGATTGATGATCAAAATATCAATATTTACTCTCGGAGAACGGCATTGCGCAGCTGAGAGTAAAACTAGGCCGTTGCCAAAACAACCAAGGACGATAACGACTACAACTATAATTGTAGATGTCAGCAATGTGGCGAGATGTATAGAATTTGGGAATGTCCAACATGTTCCATTTAATGTTCCATTGAGATTAAGATTATCAGGATGAATCGTTTGCGCTTCTTCTGTGTATGCAATCATCGTCGTCATTTTAGTAGTTAAGTCATATGATTGGTGGATTTCATATCTTCAAATCATCTACATAGGTTTTCTGGAAAACAGGAGTAACAAAAATTAGTGATTATTTTATTGGATTTCTTTTTATGTTTAAGAGGTTTTTTAGAGGTTTTCAATGTGATTGTGTTATTCGAATAATGCTCCTTGTGTGTGGGTCAGATTTTTTAATGAGATACCACAAAGAGCAACATCTACATGCAGAACTAAACAAACTCCTATGAACCATATGATCTGTATGAATCAAATACAAATACCAATAAACATTTGGAACAATAAAACATTTCTGGATTATTCAATGAAAAAATAAAATAAAAAAGAGAAATTCCTTACATATACTGTTTTCCCGGTATTTTTTGTGTGCGATTTAGTTTTGCTATATTCGCAATTGTGGTAAAATCATGAACAACAATCGTCGTGATTAAATCCTGAGGGTTTTGTTAAATTTTTTATTACCTGTTTTAATATCAGTGTAATTGTGATTTTGTAATGTGAAATTAAAACTCACAAAATTAACTAAACTGGGAGTACAGTATTAAAATATACTGAATAAGCAAATCCTGCAAATTAATTAATGTAACTAAATAGGCTAAAGGATCTAAAATTCAGGAAAATGATTCAATATTTATAACACTCATACAAACGAATGATGGATGATGATTGCAGATTTAATGAATCTCTACTGGATTAATTTCAAATCAATCATCCTCCCAAGATTTACAAGAGAGGCAAAATTAAACACAAACCAAAGTTTGCCATAATTGTATGTTTAACATTATGTTTTATTGTATGTTTAACGGCCAATGTAGAATTTGATGAAGATACTCTGAACTATTGTAGCAATGGTAGCATCCTCCAAAGTCAAAATGTAGGGCTGAGCAAGACATCACCCACAACATAATCCAACCTTCTTCCTTCTGGAAGGACAAGGTACCAGTTCTAGAGGCCTGCGTTTGGAAAATGCCATAATGGGGGCTTGACAAGTTCATATCATTTCTCTTGTTTTAGAATGATATTATGACTTTTTGTTTCTCATTTTCAGCTTTTATTTTGTCACATTTTTGTGTACTTCTACCTGTATCAAACTGATATTGAGGATACCGTATTCGCCGTAATAAGCACCCAGGGCACTTTTAAAATTGAAGTTCCCATTGTAACCGATTACAAAGAGCGCCAATATATGAGAGAAGTCAAAAATCCCGGGAATTTCATATTGTATTATTGTTGTTTCAATAATTTTGACACTGTTATAATGATTGCTTTCTGTTCATTTTCCGTGATAACATAACTTTTTGTCCCTATTGCATCTGCTCATTTTCAAAAGAACTACAACAAAATGGCTATGCTTTTCATCACAAACCTTCAGGCAGACTGTCCAACTGTCCTGCAATTTGCGTATTTGTCACGCATTTGCTGAAGAAATTGAAGTCATGCCAACTTTTTTTGCGTGACAGAATATGTCACTCAAATGCTCATTTTACCTGATAATTGTCAAGCAAAAATATTTATGTAGAACTTAAAAAAATGAACACCGATACATAAAAAAACGAACATCGAAAATGTCACGCATTTGCTTCAAAATTTTTTGTACCTATCCCCCTGCTGACAGAGCTTTTTAAATGTGAGTGTAAGCGAGCAGGAAAAAATTGAGGTGTCCAATATTCTGACCAAGGTGTTCAGTTTTGGACCAAGGTGTCCACAATTTGAAACAAGGTGTTCAACATTTGTAAGTCACTCATGTTAGGTGTTCCCAAGTTGACAGGCCTGCTTCAGGGGCCCCAGTGGTTTCCTAGGCTTTACATGAATGGTGTTTCCCCTGTTGATTCATTCCACATGCCCTGTACTTGCCATTTTCAATGCAGCCCCCCCCCCCAAACACACAGTGCCACCCAAATTTAAAATTTGCATGTTAGAACCTGGAAAACTGAGTAAAAATGAAGATTCTCTGATCAAAATATAAATTGTGATGTATACTTACAATAAAAATGTTCCATGTTTACTCCTAAAATGGTATTTCAGGAGCTTATTACAAAAGTGCAGAACCTGTGGAACCTGTGATCTCTCAATTTCCTGTTGACTCATTATTCACCGACACACAAGAAATATAATATAGTAAGCTAGCAGCTAAGTTTTTCCAAAATTTTACAAAAACTGAAATGAAAATTCCATCCCTAGTTGCGTATAGTGTCCACTTTGTTTCAAATTTTACCTCACCTTTTTAAATTTGCCTCACCATCCTATATAAATTTGCCTCACACCTTTAGGATCTTGGCTATTCCCTTGTTATATCAACGTATTAATATCCCTCTCACCTGATTTGATGGCAGCAAACATGTGAGCTTGAGGAAGTTCAGCCATAATTGACGCCGTATTGATTTATCACATGTGTTGACGTCTACCTGCGTATTTCTGTGTTTCCTAAGACGTCTCTGATCCTAATTACTACCATTATAATGCTAATTGTCTGTTAGTGTTAGCTTTACTTCTTATGTTACTGAGAATCTGCAACAAAAACAATAAATTAAGATTAAAGTGGCAGAATAGGATGGTGTCAAATGTTTCACTTTAATCCTAATTTTGTACTCCGATGAGATAATTGAGAAATCTGATAAAATATGGAAGTCAAATGTTATACCGCATCGTTATGAAGCATTTTGAGAATAACTTCCCAACGCAGAATTTTTGTGGTGGTACACAAGCACGGAAACCTTTGTTACAAAGCTTTTTGTCAAACTCCTTTGAAACAAAGCAACTGAACCCTTTGCATAACAGGTACCAATGAAAATATAAAGTGACAACAAAGACTAGAAAGTGAAATTGTAGGAAGCAATATTTTGAAACATATACCAATGTTTGACCTAAATCCTAATTTAGTAGTCCAATGAAATTGAAAGATTTAAAGTGGCAACACGACATGAGAGTAAATCCCCCCTCCCCTTGTGTTTACGATATACAAGGGGGGGGGGGTCACTTCATTTTGATGTAAGACTTAGTATTATACCAACTTGCTCTATATCATGATGAATCCACTTGTATCTTACTGAAGTAATTATTATGTTCATCTAATAAATGCCAACACAGTGATAACTCTTACTGCTTGAATAATATTCAATTATTGGAGGTACAAGAATAATCGACCAATCAATAAAATTTCATATTGGATGGCAGTGGTAATAATATGAAAGAGCGCAATTAGCAAGGATCGAGTCATTTGTATGTGTAGTTTACACACTTTAATTCTAAGAGTACCAGGTTACAGTTGTAAATTAGGTACTAAGAGCTTAAATAGGGGATGAAAATAATTTTTTGGCACATGTTGAATAAGGACGATAGAAAAATTAAATTGGTAGCCATGGTTTGAATTTGGATTCGAAGAGTGAAAAGAGTAGACACATTTAGTCGACACTCTAAATTGTAAAGAAATGTCTTAATATTTGACAGTTCATTCAAATTTAAGAGAGAAAATGCATGGGAAAGGCATGACATTCAATGAGAATCTCGTGGATGGAAAGCTAATGAAGACATTTAGATGGATGCAGTAGCAGGTTACCAAGGCAACAATGGCGTTGCATGCTACTCCAGTTTCTATGGTATCTAAACATCATAATGAATTCCCTAACAATTACTAAAAAATCACAAATCTTTTTTGTAAAATACTCTTGAAATGGGAGAAATCTCCAAGAGATAAGTGAGAAAATGATCTGCATAATGTGAACTCGTGAAAAAGAAAAACATAAACCTATTTCGATAATATTCATCCAAGATCTAAACTTTCGAGTTAATTAAGGAATTTCTATTCGAAAGGTTACCTCGTTATTATAGAGTGATCATGCTCCGCTAAAAAATAAATCAAACTTCTCGAGATATAATGACTGTTTTTTCTCATAAATCTATTGTTATACAAAGACTGCTTGTATTAGCTGCGTTCTTCATAATTACGTAGATTGTATGAGCTTTATTTCTGTCTAGAGCATATTACCGTTATTATAGAGTGGAATTGAAAAGTCCAGATGAGCTCCATCATTGAATAATACTACACATGTATTACAGTACACATTTCCATCAATGTAACTCTGATGATCTATATTGTTTACCACCTTTGAAAGGTGTAATAACTTTTTATGGTTTATGTTTACGTATGATAAAGGTAGACCACTTCAGTCAATCAGTATGAATTAGAGTTACAATAGAACCTGTGTAAATGGAACACCCTTGGGACCACAAAAGTGTTCCACTTGGGAGGTGTTCCACTTAGAGAGGTTCATTAACATGGAGTAGACAGGTCATGGTACTTTAAAAACACTGTTCCACTTGTGAGGTGTCCCACTTGTGTTATGCCTATTGCTTATGTGTTTTAAACAGTTTCTTCAGTCTACTAGCTGTAACTCAAGAGGCAACATCTCTAGCTAACATCTACTAATCTTGGGTTGCAGTTAGGAGATTCAAGCCTTTGAATTAGATGCTTCTTAGTGTAGAATAATAAAGGAATTTACATCAAGCTATTTTAGTTACATTATCATACCCCTAGACAAGAGAAAGGACCACATACCAACGAGAACCCCGTGAAGCGTAACACTTGTGAGGTGTCCCACTTTCAGTGGTGGTCCCAGTTAAGGAATTTATGTATGTATGTTTTTTTATTTAGTTATTTTGCTCTCACTACAGTATTTACAACAGTGGCACATAAAGGGTATCAGTGTGGCAGATTGTCCCCCTCCACCAAGGTACCATGGCATATGTTTTTCATGATCTGTACACTTAAAAATCACATTTGAAAACAAAACCCATTAAACCCCCTTAAACCATATCAATGAAAACTAGTGAGTAGTATGAATCTTCCTACTTGTTTCCTGTACTGAGACTTGAATTAAGGTGCTGACTGCTGTTGTATTTCCTCAATAGAGAAATATTTCAAGAAACCATATATATCTTGACATGTTCATGTATTTTTGAATTGTGACCTCAGTTAATTATATGAATCACTGATATAAATATACATATAAAATGAATAAGTACTAGACTATGTATGTGTCGAGTTAAACGAATTTGGACATTTATGCATCTCTAAACCTTCAATAACTTCTTTGCTTGATAAGTTATGTCAATTCTTTTTTCAGAAAAAATTAGGGTTGCATGAATCATTTAGAAAAGACTGTTCAACATTTTAGACTCTCAATCCCCTTTGCATTAGTTCCTTTAATCCAAGTGTACCTGGTACTAATAGCCATATTAATTTTCTCTTTTTGCAATTTGATATTGTTTAGGATCAACACAAAGTACTGATAAACATATCATCCGCTAAGTTATTGATTTTGTGTAAATAATTAGTTTTCGCATAAAAAGGAGAATATAAAACCAAGCAAGTCTGTCTGAAGGGTTCTCAAGTAGTAAACTATAACAATATTTCTCAAATAATCATAATGATTATCTCAAGTTTCATTTCTAGGTACTCATTGTGCATGATACGGCAATTAAAACCAAATTCCACCTGCCTTTAGGCATTCTACATCCACCACAGTCATATGAAGTAAATTAGAACTTGGTCCAAACAGGATTTTTCTCAAGGGGGTGCAAAATTCTTATTTTCACAATGAAGACAATTAATTAATATCCCCATTTTAATGATTTTTCTGATTATCAAGTGGGAGAAAATATATTTTCTGGTGGGTGCTAGCCTGTTTTTAAAATCTCATGTGAATGCTGTGCCTACTTGCTTTAATGCTGGGAAGATCACTGCCTTATGTAAAACCATGGGCCTTCAATAGATATTAAAACCCCATGGTAAAATCTGTAAAGCTTTAATCATGTTGTTTCCAATTGAGCATATCAAATTCAATTGATGACTGCAATTGAAAAGGTAGATGCTTTTTCCAATTCCATGAACATGCAATTACTACTATGATCTCTGAAAACACTTCATTTCTGATCATTATTGGATAATCCAGGACTTCAGGTGGTTTGAATGAAACCCCCTAAATATTTCTATACAAACTAAAAGTGCAGTCAAACATCATTCATACACGATCAGACCTTATACATGTAATCTAAAAATCCTTGTTCCAAATTTTATTTTCCCGATGACTTTCAAATTGATTGGTTACCTGATTAGTCACCTGGACTGCACAGTCATCTAAGTACATAAAGTCTCAAGAGTCAGGACAGTGAAATGACTCAAAGTTCCTTTAATGGTGTCATTAAGGTCTTATCTATAAGAGTGCTTATAATGCCAAGATGGTGATTAGCACTTGAATATGCTCTCTTGTATACTATATTACCCTATGTACATTTATTTTATATAAATAAATAAAAAAAAAAAAAAAAAGGTCTTATCTGATCAATTAAGTTAATGATTCTTTAATTTTGTTTTTATGCTGATGAGAATCTATTTTTATACTACAAGTTCTATGTGGATTAGTATTTTTCAATCCCAAATTTTAACATATGTGGGCTATAGTCTGAATATTTTTGGCAGATACCTTGGGTGAGATCCCGAGTGGAGATTGATGATTGTTTTGGGGTTCATTGGCCCATCAACTTGAAGTCATGTGATAGCGGCTTAAGTTTTTCATTGATTCTACAAGTTTTTACATAATGTATTTAGTCTGAAGTACAATAACTTATCTATGGTAACGTTTATTTGTCTCTTTTTGACACTTTAGTAAAGAAATCCCCGGGAAATCATTGACATTGTAGAGTCCATTTCACTGCTTCAGTTCGTCAGAAGAACGGCAAAAATAAGAAATTGGGAGACTATTGTGCAATAATATATGGAAAAGTATATTCATAATGTACATGAATGACATTTGTATATTTCAGATTTTTTAGTTTTTTGTGCAATAAGCCTGTGCCGTCTTGTAATTTGAAGAATTTCAGCCATGTTAATCTTATTGAAAATAACATGGCAGAGAAACATCCAAATATAAGAGGCCACACACTTTATAAGCCAAACTAGAAGCAATCCAAGATATACAAATGTCATTCATGTACATTATGAATATAATTTTCCATATATTATTGCACAATGGTCTCCCAATTTCTTACTTTTGCCGTTCTACTGACGAACTGAAGCAGTGATATGGACTCTAGTTTGTTTGTCATAAGCTTAAAATTCTCTGAAAATAAGCTGAAAGTTATTCTTACCTTTTCTACTATTTAGAATGATTTCGTGTCATCGATAATACATTTTTACATTCCGTGTCAATATTTTTTCATCTACGATCGTTCTTACTCCAAAATGTAACATCTAAATACAGATAATATAGATATTTGACAATGTCGAAAAAGTTGACAAAGAGTTCCTCAGCGGAAGTGGTTACTACACTGGACGAAATGTAAATCCTTTGCCTCGGGAAGCTAGCTTTCCTCCAATTTTCTCCTGATTTCAAGGGAGTATAGTCGTAAGTACTGTTTATACTTATACAAAAACCCATGTGAGTAGTATGTACAATAAAATAATGTATAATCTCCTTTAAAATCGTAGACTTTGGCTACTTTGCCTTTTTCAATGTTGCCCTACGTTCGTTTTTACAGTGTATATAACGCATGCGCCAACTCACGCCACGCCATCTTGGATCATTTTTTGCGTGAATGATCTGACCAATTCCGTAGCTCTCTGTGCTACGATCAGGCATTCCTCTATGCGGTAATGCATCACATTTGAGGTAAAGTATATTGTCCATTTTTTAAATACGAAAATAAGCGATAAAACTAAGTAAGGAGGGTTGATTCCTGTTTTAGAGACACATCTGATCTTCCTTTTCTTTCATCAAAAAATTCATGACCCATTTTTTTATTCAGTTTTTGAAAAAACAATGCAAAATATAATTTAGAATCTTTTCAAAAGTAAGGGTGGCTTATTCAAGTTAAAAATAATTGACTTATTGAAACTGCATGGTTAACAATTTTTTATTTACATTTTGTTCGAAGCTAAGATGCACATTTTCTGATTCCGTAAATCTAAAGGTCAATTCTCTGATTCTGTTACATTCTCCATGCCTGAAGAATCCTCCCTTAGATTATTTGCACTTTGCTTCGAGCATGCATTTAGCATGTGTTTTATTCAGTTGCTGGTTGGTTGAGAAAAGATTAGCGTGTTAGGTTTGCAACTGTTACGGGCGGGGCCAGCTAAACTGCAATATAGGTTTACATCTAGACTCTGCATGCAGGGTATGGATTATTCAAATCTATATATTACATGATTTCTAGATGCAGCAATTTTAAATCATTTAAAGAGGCTCGTTGCCACAGGATAGCACAATCAAGACCCCTCTGGACTTTTTGCATATTGAGTTTCACCGAATATTCACCTATCTACTTACCATAGAAAAAGTCCCGAATCCCCCTCTTTCAATGTAAACCTGGTTCAAGGCGCTTGTGTGACTCAATGGGGATCCCCCTCGCTAGCTGAGGAATTGATTTTGTTTAATTCTGGAGTTTTTTGTTTTGTTTTGTTGATTATTTCAATATTTCGGCAATGATATACCCGAAAGTAATTCTCAAGATACATCCATGGTATGTTAGATATTATATGAGCAATTACAATAGGACATCATTGATTGTCTGGAGGAGAAACCTGAGGTTTCATTAACGGCGTCCTTCAGTGGAGAGGACGTAAATCAAGATTGGGTGGACGTATATAAAAAAAAAATTACGTTTTTGGGACGCAATTTGAATTTTGTAAATCAATTCGTGAATCCACTTACCTTCAGTCTCTTTATTTCGTCAGAATCCACTAAATATTATTGAAGGAAATTCTATTTCTAAAAGAAATAAAATTTTCTTTCGAAGTTTCGTTCCCGGAAGTTGACTTCTGATCGAAATAGTACGAGGCATGTGATAGGACAAATAGTTATCCAATTCTCGATATCCGAGCAGTAATCAGTACGAGTCTTGCGAATGGTTGCTAGCTGAGGACCCGATTCAAACCATTTTCTATTGGTCAAGTGCGATCACAAGATCATTATTTAAGAATGCGCATGCGCAAGAAACTTAACCAAAAAATTGAACCTCGCGCAGATTGCCCCTAAACTAAAGCAAAATCAGTCGCCAATTGCTTCGAAATACGCTAAGAAAATGTGTTTCTAATTGTTGAATATAAGTTGTACCTCACAAGTGATGGTATCTGTATCATTCAATGACATACTAGACTCGCCAGAACACTGATTTAGACCGATAATTTGCAAAAGTGATACAAAATTTCATCAATCTTATTTAGGTTAGTCTAGTGTAAAAGCGTGACTTTGAATTCCCGGGAACATTTTTCAAGGGACGCAGTTTTTTGAGGGGAGACGCATTTTTTGAAAATCGTCCCAGGGACGCAATCTTGGACAAACCTACTGAAAACACTCAGAAACCTATGGTAAAGTGCATCTTGACTGCTTTAAGGTCAGGGTGCATGTTCGGAATTTTGCTGCAACCCTCAATTGAGTCGCATGTTATTGGCTCACACAGTGAGCCTATGGGATCGACCAGGCGTCCCTCCGTCCGTTGGTCTGTTCGTCTTTCCATCCGTCCATCCCTCCGTCTGTCCATCAACATTAGCCGCACAAATTAAAACTGCTATTCAGATTGAGTCATATCCACATTCATTTTATGCATATCCATAATGCCTATTTGAGCTATCATCGCCATTTCCCAAGTTTGCCCAGTTTTCGAGAAATGCTGATTGTGATGTCAAAAAGTCAAATTTTCTGTAAATACTAGGCACTTTGTTGAAGTAGAACTTTCAAATTCAAGAGCTTTGAAATCTTCAGGGAACTTTCTCATGTATAAAGTCAATCATCATTGGCTGCACAAATTATAACTGCTATTCGTATTGAGTCATATTCACATTCATTTTATGCATATCCATAATGCCTGTTTGACCTATCATCGCCATTTCTCAAGTTCACCCAGTTTCTGAGAAATTGCCGATTTTGATGTCAAAAAGTCAAATTAATTGTTATTTTTCAACCTGCTTTAATTTGACCAATTTTTTAAGAAAATCGTCTACAAGTTGCCAGGAGTTCAAATCTGACCTTAGTTTTGAGATATGACCTTCGAATGGTCGAAAAAGTTGATTTTTCAAATTGATTATTTGGATGTAAATTTTGGTCACCTTAATCACAAAAGAACTACTGAGCTCTGAATAAGTAAAATGTGCAAGGTCAAGGGTCCTCAAACTAGGTCACAAACTGTGCTATCTAAGTTTCTCAAAGTTCGAGACTACAAATCAAAATCAATAATTTTGTTTGAAAATCAGGATAATACATTCCTCTGAAGGTTTTACACATTTTACAATGGAAATCTTCCCACCGGTCTTTTCTAGGCACATAAGTTTCCTCTTTGTGGACAACTGGAAGGTGTAGACATTGTGAGGAATGAGTGATTTCTGTTTGAAAAATAACATGTGACTCAATTGAGGAATGCAGAAAATATCCAAACATGCACCCTGGCTTTAATCCATCATTTAAAGACGATGATACTTTTGTTATCACAGTCGAATATGAATAGAATTCACAAGTGCGATAAAGCTGCATGGCCTTCCAATAAATTCTAGAACTTATTAACTAGATTAACAAAAATATGTAATTTTTTTCAGGGAACTCAAGATCTCTACTAGCTGCTTGTACACAGAGCAACCATGGGAGATTCCAGTAGTTTCTACGTTGAGAATAAACACACTTTTATGATATTAGCTAAACTAAGGAATGATGTCAGTCTTATGGACATTGCATTTACCTTTAAAGATAACATGGAAATTTATGCTCACAAGGCAATTGTGTGCCAATACAGCCCTTTACTATCAACAAAATGTGCAAACAGTAAAGGTCTAGTAAAAATTAACTTTGATCAACTCAGTGAGGAGATTGAAACAAAACCAGCTCACCTGAACTATCTGCTCGACTTCATGTATTTTCAAAATGTCACTATCAAGGCTAGTGATATGCAAAATACAATCAAATTAGCCGTTTATTTGAACATTGTGGAGTTTTTGTCCGCTGCAAATCAACAGATCAAACCTCTAAGTCTAGAAAAGATGATAACTAATATCAAAGAAGAACCACTTGCTGACCCTGTATCCACAGAACCATATGAAGACCATGCTTCTTCAGAACGGATGGAATCAGATACTGATTATTTCCCACTCGACACCGACCCAGTATCACCTGATTCTGATCCAATATCATCTACTTCTGGAATGGTAGCATCACAGTCAGGAATGCAGTTACCATTAGACCCGCCAGCTGAGGTTAACGGAGAAGTATTTGAAACTAAGTTTGAACCAGCTGATGGAACTGAAGAATATCAGAGTTTACTCGAAGTGAAGAAGCCAGAGTCTTTGTTGAAGAAATCAGTAGCTAAGAAAGTCACAATCAAGAAAATATCCACAAAGAGACCAACTACGTCCAAAAGGAAACGAACCACTAAAGTTACAGCAGACATTCCAGGTACTGAGTAATACATACATAAATTGTTTTTGTGGTTGTTCATTTTAGTTCAGTTCGCAAATGGTCACACCGCACTTGTTTAAGTCCTGATGTGCGCTACTTCAAAAAAGGTTTCTGTTGAATACCCATGGTGGTTAAAATGAGGGAACAGGTCATTTTCTATTCATACATATCATTTTTTTTATTAGTTTTTGAAATAAATTTGCTAAATGATGAAGTAAGTTTTGATAAAAATCGTTAGTTTATCAACGTTTACCATTACATTTTAAGTAACAAAATGGTAATAATTTTTGCAATGAGATCCAGTTATGTTTCTTAAGATTAAAGTTAATATTACTTCCAGTTGAAGATGATGACAGTGCCACCGACGACTATGATGATACATACGATGATGATCCTAATGATGAAGACTTTACTGTCGATGGTGCTTATGTGAACAATGATGAGGCAGATGAATATTTAGCGGATGATATTAAGTCTGAAGATGAAGATGCTCCAAAACAGAAAAAGAAGAAGAGCTCTCCAAGTAAAGCTAAGAAACAGACAAATAAGTCGGTAGCTAAGAAAAAGCAAACCGTGCCAAACATGACGAAGATTGATGAATTGGGAGGTACAAATGTCTTCAACTTTTTACAAGTTTTCGATTAAACTTAAGTGAAGTAAAAACTTAATTGTGTATTTTTGTAATCTTTGACTAATTCAACAAATGTTATATTTTGTTGTTAATTCATGGTTTTCTGCTTATGGCAATGATTGACAATTATAGATCATCTATCTTTATTTTTCATTGCATTGAGTTATTGAACAAACAGCCTGTGTAATGTCTTGTTGAGATTTGCCAGTTAAGTATTGATACACATATTATAAAATGTATTTTAACGTTTTATTTTTCAGTACGTAAATGTGTCGAATGTAATGAAATATTTGATACATGGCCCGAAGTTGGCCAGCATCGTGTGGATGTACACAAACGACATGCATGTCTTATATGCTCAAAGAGTTTCCCCGATGAACCAGCGCTGATCAGACACAATGTGTTGCACACAGGTAATTATGACTTACATATAGATATAACACTGTACTCATAGAAAGCAATGTACTTTTCAATTATCAAAACATACAATACAGGACAAATTATTCCACTATCATCAATTTTTTATTACACTTTTCAAAAAAGTGCTGTAAAATGTCATCATTTTGTTTTATTTATGATGAAAATTATATGAGTTTCACTTTTAGTATTTTTGACACATTTTTGAATGAAGTCAAATTCTCCTCTTGCATTTGTAACATTTCTTCTCGGAAGTATTTGAAATGGGGACGTTAATATTTTATGACTACGATGTATAAATTAATTAAAACTGGTTATCTAATATTTTAAAAATTGAAGGAAGAATGGCTTTCACATTAATCCTGAAATTGATTTTATATATAGTAATAATATGCAAATATTTAAAAACAAAAAAGATTGTACAAAAGAAACTTGAACATTTAACGACAAAGCATTGCTTTCTATGTGGTTGGTGTTTTCACTTTTTCTGGACCATTGTATTATTGGGCTTCCACTTGTCAACTGATAACATATTTGTCATTGACAGAAAGGTTCTTCATATGTTGTCCCTCAAAATGGAATGAAGATAAACTTATTTCATTGGCACACACTGAAACTCAATTGTCATTCCAGTATTTTCTGGGATTATGTTCTGGACTGTTCTCCGATGGTTCATGTTTCTGTGTATTTATATTTGGGTAATCGTTAGAGACATATTGGTAATTAGATTAAACTTCACAAATGTGATAAATGATATTTGGTTTTGAAGTCGAAGTCTCAATATATTCATTTTGATACCCTCATTTTTTAAAGCCAATGAATAAACAATTGGATTCTTGAGGAGGGAGGGGAACTGAATCTGAAATTTAATTCTTAATACGATTGGGATAAGAGTAACGAATTGACCTTAGGTTGTCGCTCAAGTAACATGTCATTCATTGAGTTATTGGTGAGAATGTTGATGATGGGATAATAGAATAAGGCCTCATCTCTTGCTTATTTCTCCCTTTTTTCATTTCTTTAGTGCTGTTTTGTTTTCTAATGCTGCATATCTTATTCTTGGAATAAGATCATTCACTATATATCTGAAATCCTAAAATTTTGGTCAAATGTTAGCACAATAATGTAATGGTCCACTTTTTAATATTTTAAATATACTGTGTGTTAAACTAAATACAATCCACCACTGACAACAACCATATTGACTCGAACATGAAGGTGAATAACAGTAGATCTTTCTCGTAAAGCTCATATTCTTTTGCTACACTATAAAACAGCATATATCAGCTAGAAGTATGATGGTACAGTTACAGTTTTGCAGAACACAGACTTATAAATGTATAGCAAAAGAAGGTATCAGCTTTAAGGGACAGGATAACTGAATGGTATATACTCACAAATTGACAATTTAAAATGGTGGATTGATTTTGAGTATTTTGCAAGTAAATTGGTGCTGATTTATGTCGGAAGCACCATTGTATAGATAGCTTAGATATGGTCATAGGGGAATGGAATACTGCACGCCTTTGACTTAATGCTGCATATTCATACTATATACTATTAATAAGTTGTGACTGTACACATTCATAATGTATTATAAATCCACATTATTATTAAGATATTTTAATAGTATTTTCTTAAAAAATGGAGCAATCTTTTTACTCCAACCATAATGCATATACTGATGAAACTTATGGATCAGCCGAGAAATAGATTAAAATAGTGTTATATATATATATAGAAATTTTTTCTAAACATATTTATTTTAACTTTGGTTAGGAATGATGACTTTGCACTAAATTGTGTTTTAGATATCAGTTTAGTTTTTACACTTCATAAATACATGAATTGGCTATGTATGCTATAATTGGCAATACAGATACTACCTATAAGGATACATGTGTAGGTCTGCAATTCAAGTACATGAAATGCATATACATTTACATATATTTGTTTAGATGACACACCAATATTTTTTATTGCTTGGGTCTAACCCTGTTTGACCTTTTAACATAGAACCTAATACAACAGAGATGCAAAAATAGAAGCTTCTTATTTTACGATTGGGGAATTTTGGTTCTATAAGTACACAGACAGATTGCCTTGGGGCATTGTTCAGAAATATACAAGGGTGAATTTTTGAAGAACCTTCTAAACACAGTAAATTAATACAGCAAGAAACCTGACTTATCCAATTAAAATAGAATCATACTAGCCCTAAACTTGATGTTCAGCTTTTGGGTATCATATACTGTACATCTACTTAATTTGGCAGCCGTTTTGATTTGGCGAATTCCCCGAATTGTTAAAGTCTGCCGAATTAAGTTGCCGCCAAATATATCAATATTTCATATTTCAATCGTAAATAAAAAAGTATTCAGAACTACTCCTAAGGCAATCTGTTAATGTACTTTTTCTTTTTACTCTTCCAGAGGGAATAGAAGTGATAAATAAGGATGGTGATATAGTGTTCAAATGTGATGTTTGCTCTGAGGAATTTGAACTGCGTTTAACATACAATGAGCATATACTACAACACCGAGAGTACCCATTTGTTTGCGCTAGATGCGGCAAATGGTGCATCAACCAATACCAGTTCTGCCTACATATTCTTAACCACGAAGGAATGAAACTTTTCAAGTGTCAACACTGTGAGAAAGGATTTGATAAAATGTGGATGAAGATTGAACATGAGAATATAGAGCATGGAGAAAACCATGAGCTGCCTCCAATGAAGGAGGGTGAATACAAAGCGGAAAAAGTTAAGCCGTCGCGGATAAGTGCATTTTCACCAGGACATGTTTTGTGTGACGTTTGCGGAAAATCGTTTAAATATCCCAGGTATATGGTGGAACATCGTAGGAATATGCATGGTGAAAGAGACGTGCCTTGTCCAAAATGTGACATGAAATTCACTACGCAGATGACATTGAAACATCATTTATTGAAGCACGAAGATGCTGCAGCTAATTATGCATGCGAAATCTGCGGCCTGACGTTTAAACGTAAACAAAATCTCAATGAACATAAGAGAAGGCATGCAACTCATAAGTGTGGTGGATGTGATGAGGAATTCCAACATGCGAAGTATCTCCTTCAACATCTTACAGAGAATGCCTCATGTACAGAGAAACATGATAAAACTTACCCTAAATGCGCAATATGTAATAGGTTATTCACGACAACTTCTACGTTACGTGTTCACTTGAAAAAGATGCATAATTCAGGAGACTCTGAAGTGTTCACATGCGAAGAATGCGGGAAAGAATTTATGCTGAACTGTGATTTGAGACGTCACTTACGCAAACATGAGGACTTTAGAAATAAAAAACATCAGTGCCCAACTTGCGATAAATGCTTCTTTACAAGTATTAATCTTTCAGAGCACATGAATATTCACACTGGTGCGAAACCGCATCACTGCGATCAATGTGATGCTAAGTTCACTGGTTCAAGTGCTTTGTACAAACATGTCAATAAAGTCCATAAAGGGATTGGAAATCAAGAGGCTGAAAAAGACCAAGAGGAAGAAAAATTCATATGTGAAGTCTGTGTTATAGAGTTCAAAAAGGTCAAACATTTATTGGTACATTTATCAAACAATAAGATGTGTAAGTTCTCATATAAGAAAACATTTCCCGAATGTCCAGTTTGTGAAAAACTCTGCTTTAAGGCTCATCTTCTAGATTTACACATTAGGACTCAACACACTCCTGCTGACGCACCTTTTGCTTGCAAATTATGCGACAAAAAATTTGTCGTCGAAAAAGATTATCTTCGGCATGTGCAACATCATCAGTCAATCGCCAATAGGGATTTCCAATGCGGTAAATGTGGAAAGTCATTTGGGAGTTTAAGTGGACTTATAATTCATGAAAAGAAAGCAACTAAACTGTGCAAACCTCCAAAAGTGCTTAGTCTATATTAGACAAGTGTATGAGTTTATATTAACCAGTCAGTATATGAATAGTATGTATAATGTAATACTGTATGTAATAAGTAATGAATATAGGGAAATTGTGTACTTTGAATTTATGCAATATGTAAAGTGTATTATGCGTATATTTAAAACATAATTGTTGTGATTCCTATTGTTTTTTACTGTACCATAGAAGCCTAAGTAACAGCCCAAAGCCATGAGTTCATCATCAGTATAGGAATATTTTGCTAATTGCGTCTTCTTGGAATTTTTAAAACCAGCTAAATGCATCTGCTTGAGAACAGACTATTTGCATCTACTTTAGATTTCAAAAATAGGCTAATTGCATCCATTTGAGATTTTGAAAACAGGCTAAATTCATCCACTTGAAAACAGGCTAATTACATCAGCCTGGTATTTCTAAAATAGGCCAATCGCATCTTCTGGCTAAGGCTTATTGGAAACGCTTGGAATTTTGAAAATAGGCTAAAATTTGCATCTACCTGAAAACATGCATGCATTGAATTAAATATGAGAAAAATCCTAAAAGTTATTTCTGGCTTTGGGCAGAATTGTGAAAATTGTGTCTTTTATAAACTCATTGAAAAATTCCAGGGGTAAACTCTGAACTACATAGATTTTATAGGTGGAGGCGAATTTGAATTCTATAAGTGTGATTAATCGGAAGGAAAATATAATTCAATTCATGCACATATATATATATATATAATATTATAAAGGACCCTTGACTAGTTACCAGTATCCTTTTAAAAAGCAGAAAACATTTCCCATTGTAAAGTGAAAGATTTTTTGTCTTAATATCATATCTAACCAACCAATTACAATTGCTTGTCATGAGTGATTTCATTTTAATTTGAATCTTTAAGGTTCTGACGCTGTACTAAAAGTATCATTCTGATATTCATAGCATCTCTCTCTGTTGCCTCGCAGAAGGATAGAGATAGAGAGGGTGTGGCTAATAATACCACGATGTAAAAGTATTACAAAATTAATGTTTAGCTAATTAGTTACTGTTTTAAGAGGCTAAAATCACAGTTGCAGAAAAATGTGTTTGTAGGTATTTCCTAGTCTTTGACTAATCTTACATTGTACAGGGTGCCCATAAAGCCCTTATAATTACAATGTTAAGACTTTATTGACAACCTGTGTATGTGTTTCCATTCAGAATGGATCCACGCTAGAGATCATTGAAATCCTGTATCTAGTATATGATTACTTCCTGCGAAAGCTATGTGGATTTTGATATTATAGCTTTCCCACGGCGCACTGGACAGCTGAATAATAGTGACCTTTAAAACATGAATAATGAGATACTTTTGGTCTCTAACTGTGTCTTACATCAGTATCATCCATCCGTGCAAGTATTGGAGTGCTGAAACACTTCTTTTTCGATCAAGACTTGTAAATTGTTCATCGAGTGAATGTTTTTTCGACCCATTTCCAATATGGCGGTTTGCTAGGAGTGAGATACACAATGAACGAAATGAATTTTGAGAATGAGTTAGGTTCGGACAACCTCCGAAAAGTTATGAAAATGTCAGCAGAAAACGCCATATTGGAATGTGGCAGAAAAAAACATTCACTCGACTAAGGATGATAATGATGTATGGCATAGTTAGAGAACAAAAGTAAGCCGCTGATCCCCTTAATTAGTGTTTCAAAGGTCACTGTTATTCAGCTGTCCATTTCTCCGTTGAAGAGCCATAAGTTTCAAAATCTAACATGGCTCTTGAAGTGAGTAAGTATATGACATATGTATTGCTTTACTCATGTTCTCTGAACTATTAGTTTTAATAAATCAATGTAGTCAATCATTATTGCATTGTTGTTAGTATGGTATAATATATTTATCATGAAGAGCTCTTTATAGATTTTAAATTGAAGTGAATGATTATGAGACTATTTGGTATTTTGATTCAGAAATCCTTTTGATGTCTATGATAGATAATAAGTACACTCAAAATAAGTAGATATGTTACAGAGCACAGGAAAAAATATCTGTGCTGACACTTCATAAGGAAAAGAACAACCATCCCTTAAATCCATGATCTAATGGAAAGAATCAATGTTTAATACCAATCATCTTTGACCATGAAAATGTTAATTAGATGTTATATTTACTATATTGTAGATCTTAAAAAAATCAAATTAGATCCTCAAAGTCAGTAGAAAACTGAAAACATAAAAATCCATTTTAAAATTCCCCAGAGGATCAAAACGTTGACACTTAATTCATGAAAATATGGCAGTCACTATTTGTTTTATTATATACCCCATATATGTACGAGTGTCAATTAACAAAATAAGTCTTTTAATTTCAACATTTTATGATTACAGGTTTTATAGGCATTTAGAGGCATTCTGCCATTCAGATCATAGAATCCCTGCTTGAGATGGGAGATAAAAATTACTTATGCCTGGTCACATGACCTAACTGGTGATTAGTACATTTTATCTTCCCTGAATTCAGAGATTTAGAACTTTCTAAATACGCTATCTATTTCATATCAGGTGACCGTGAATAAGCCTATGAGCATCTAGAATACATATAGGGTATATAATGATAATCTATAATCTATCTTCCAGATGGTATTCTACTTGAGAAAGACGGACAGTTTCCTTACCAATGCAAAGAATGTTCACAATGTTTTATACACGTAGGACCATTTATACAACATACGAGGCAACATGATTCAGAATATTTTCTGAAATGCGATGACTGTGGCTGGCGAGGAAAGCGGTTCAAACTATACTACTATAGTATCCATAGACTTCGCCATATTGGTGTCAAGTTAAATAAATGTGAAATTTGCCATAAGGGTTACACCAAAAAGAGAGACTTACGCGATCACTGTGTACGTAAACACAACGCTGTATTTTATTTAGACTCAGGAGAGGTGTATACTCCAACAGATAAACATCGGCAGTGTGAGGAATGTGGACAAATCTTTTCAGAACAAAGAAATTTGAATAATCACATGTTACGAGCACATGGGGAAATGAAAAGGAATGAAAAGTGTGGACAATGTCCAAAAACCTATTTCACAAAGTTAGACTTGGACGGACATATTTATCGATCACATAGCAAGCATAGTAGCCATGTATGTGAAACCTGTGGAGTTGAATTCAATGCAGATTGTAAACTTAAGCAGCATATTAGACAAGTCCACAAAAAAAGACAATGTCGACATTGTCTGGAGAAATTCAGTACTCCACACGAACTGAAAGTACATGCCGAGGACAACAAAGAATGTTACGATGTTATGAAGGGAGATTTTTATCATTGCACATCCTGCCCAGAAATATTTAGCGCACATGCTTCTTTAAAAATACACACAGATAGAAAACACAATAGCTATAAGCCATACGCATGTGATCAGTGTGAAAAATCCTACTCCGTTAAACGAGATTTAAACAATCATATGAGGTCTCATAGCAAAACTTTACCATGTACATATTGTGACAGAATGTTTTCTTATTCAAAACATTTGAAGGAACATATGAGAATTCATCTTAAGATAACCCCATATACATGTGAAATATGTGGAAAAAAATTCACTCACAATGGGAGCCTTTTTAAGCATAAATTGTGCCATAAACAGCCCAGTTTTTCTGATACTGTCTAAAGTCAAAAAGGACATGTATGTACAATGGAGAACAATGAAATGAATGTACAATGAAATGAATAACTCCAATGCAGTTGGTCAGAAGGTACTTTAACCTACTTGAAACTGCCTCACTTTGTACAATCACTTTACTCATGTTACTATACCTTGCATTTGGCTTTCACGAGCAACCCATTTGGCTTATTAGTAATGATTATATATTTGTTTTTATTTGTCTGTTCCTTATTAATGGTTTATCGGTTGACGTTAGATGTTGATAAGGTACTTTCAAAAATATACTAAACAATCCAATTAGACAAACAAAGTATCTTATGCATTTCTAGGTGTTAGGTATAGTAGTGTGACAATGTACATTCAATTCCCCACACAGTTTAGAAATGCAGTTGCAATAAAATTGAAAAATAGCTGTGAATAGTTGCATAGAAAATACTTTATATTATTTATTACATTATTCATTTATTTTAGTAATAAATAGTAACTTATGGTATATTATGAATCTTAAAGGTTGCTTTCACTGTTCAGAGTGTAAATGTTAATGTGAATCTCATCTTATTAACTATGATTGTGTCATTATTATGGTAGGGGGAATTCAAAAATAAATTGTTAAGACAAAAATAATTTTTAGAAAGAAGACATAATTTGTAATGATTTTATTATACTATCAAAACAGAAATTAATCTAATTGGCTGTTCAATGGTTATAATTAGCTTTTCAATGGTTATAATTAGCATTTCAACCGTTGCCGCTCTGTCTGTGTAACTGTTGCTGCTCTGTCTTGGTACCGCATCTGAATTCAATAATGTAAAATCTTAACTTGTATTTTTTCAATTTTCTAAATGAAAATAAGCCTGCAAAATTAAACAAAATTGAATTGAAACAAAAAAGAATCTTTATTTTCTTTATTTAGATTCCATCCTTATTCAGTCTCCTAAAAAATGAATACCCGATAAGTATAGGGATAAGCTTATATGGTATATACAAATAAGTTTAATGTATAAATATAATGTTTTAGAGATCAGATTTGAAATGCTCCTTAAATATTTTTGTGTCAGATTTTAATCGGGTACTGCATTCCTGAGAGGGCTCTAATGATTAAATAAGAAAGTATTTAAAATTTAAAAGTTATCATTGTCCTCCAGGCTCGTAAACAGGGTTGTTCGGGGGGAGGGGCAGTTCACCCTGGCCAAAAATTATTTCAAATTCATGCAGTTTTTCACCATATTGATCACTTCTCAAGTGATTTTGGCCATTTTTTGAGCCATATTTATCAAATGTGAATTCCCTTGGAAATTTTTAAAAAGTGCAAAAGCTGGCTACGGGTCTACCCATGAGTGTTCATTTCCAGAATTACCATGTTTAAACGTAAACCATGATACCATGGTATACCATGGTTTACCATGGTCTATCATGATCGGCAATGAAATTACCATCAACTCTGACCATGGTGGCAATGATGTTTTTTGGTCAATTTCTGACCATGGTATACCATGGTATATCATGTTATACCATGTTTCATGGTATTTCATGTCCAAAGTTTGCCATCAAATACCATGGTATTTCATTGCCATGTTCCTGACCATCATTTACCATGGTATTACCATGGTATATCATGGTTGATTGCATTTCATGGCATTTCATTGTAAGATGTGACAATCAAATACCATGGTATTTCAATGCCATGTTCCTGACCATAATTTACCATGGTATATCATGGTTGATGGCATTTCATTATAAGATGTGACAATCAAATACCATGGTCATACCATGGTATTTCATTGCCAGGTTCCTGACCATCATTTACCATGGTATTACCATTGTATATCATGGTTGATGGTATTTCATTGTACAATTTGACAATCAAATGTCATGGTCATACCATGATATTTTATTGTTATGTACCTGACCATCATTTACCATGGTATTACCATTGTATATCATGGTTGATGACATTTCATGGCATTTCATTGTACCGTGTGACAATCAATTACCATGGTCATACCATGTCATTTCATTGCCAAAATCATAACTCTCATTTATCATGGT